GAAGGGCCATAATAATCATATACATTGTATATTGACAAAATAAAAATTAAAAAAAAATTAAAAAAATTTTAAAAAAAAGAAGTAACAATGCCCGTAAGATTTTGACAAAACTGGTCGGTAACTAGGAAAGAGCATTAAATTCATAAACAAACTTGTTAAATTTCCAGGATTAACCAATGAATGTACTTGTGACTCATGTTCTCTCCTTTTACAAACTGTAGGTAATAGGAAATATCTTGTTAATTCAGAGCCTAGTAATTTAGGATTTGTGATAACAAGATATTGTATATGTAATCTTATTGGATGAAAACATTAATGGGTTCCACTTTAAATAAAAATCACTAATGAATAGTGTCAGTTATCTATTTAGATATTAACCATTTGGCTGAAAACATAAATCATTCTTGTAAAGCATGATTCTGTGATCCTTAAAAATCTTTGATGCTCGCTTGCTTGCTTGTCTACTGGACGTCCAAAATCCATTTTTGAGAAGACCAAGGATAAAGAAAATGGGGCCAAGGGAAAACTTCCTCTTCACCCCTGAAGTTTCATTAATAAAAATCACTGACAAATTTATAACAAGAGGAACGTGAGAGAGGGAAGGTGGGGAAGGTACAATCCCCAGAACAAGGGCCTGAGACCAGGGTTCTCTGAAGCTCTGGAGGGAGGAGTCATTGCAAGTGAAAGAAGGAAGTCGGAAGTAAAAGTTAAGTAGAGACATCTTGTATGTGGATTAAAGTACTTTCGGTAATCTCACAGCTGCCTCAGAAAGAACAGGTAGTAGTCAAAGGAGGGGCTCCTCACAGGAAGCCTGGCTATTTGCACTTACGGGTGTAAATATCTTTCCTCAAAATACAGCCTTCTAGCTATTCCGGTTTTTCCAGTCTCCCTGAATTAGCCATTTTGAGATATGTCAAAGAAATATATTTTGGGGGCAAAATATTTTGCTTTCNGACTAAATCATTTGCAAAGTAAGTTAAGTCTCTGGCCTGATTATTTGCATAAAGTACAGCAGGAATAATGACTTATTATATAGGTTCTCTTTAAGTTGGCTTTGCTGGGACTTTTATAAGGAATCTCAGATTAGACGTTTTAGGAAGCCAAGCCAAGGATTTGACTCACTCTCATGCTACCTGTTGATGATTTTTTCTTTCCTGGAGGTCTCCAAAATATCAAGGGTCCTGGACTTGTCAGAAAGTGGCATTCTTTACTACTGCAAGGCCAGGAAGCCTGTACCATGTAGACAAGATACCAGGCCAGTCTATCCAAGGGGATTTTTATTATCTTCATAAAAAGTCAAGCATTCCTTAAAGCATTCTGGTCATAACTGAAAATATGGTATTCCAGTCAAAGCCTTGGTAAAATAACCAGTGTCTCAAATTTTTTTCTGTTACAAAAGAAAAAACAGATTCTCATTGAATTTATGCAAATAACTATATTGCTTGAAATAAGGGTACTCATGAATAGTTTCAAAATCCTGGAAGAATTAAGTAGAGAGAAAAATATTTCTGTTTTGCTCACACGAAGATGATGGACTAGAGGTGCCTAGGGCACATTCCTCCTGCAGAAGAAAATCAAAACATGCCTACCACAATGTAGCTATAGTAACTGGAGCTATTATCCAGTCCCCAAACCGTTGCCCATCATAGAGCATCTCCCTGCCAAGCAGCAGACATGCAGGTGGACCATAAGTGCAGCTACAGACTCTGCAGACATAGGGAGGTGGTTTCAACCACCGCCACTATTGTTGCCACTGTGAGTTAACTGCTGCTGCCAAGGACACTGCTGACACAAGGGAGATGGCTGCTGCCACTGGCACCACTGCTGTTGCCACAAGGTAACCCCATGCCCACCAAGGACACAGCCGAGGACACTGCAGATGTAAGAGATGCAGTTGCAGCTCCTGGCACCACTGCTGCTGCTACCTCTCTGTCACCAAGGACAGTACAGACATGAGGAAGGTAGTTGCAGCTGTCAGCTCTGCTGCAACCCTCACAAGTAACCCTGCTGCCTCTGCAGACACCACAGATGCAAGGGACGTGGTGGCAGTGCTTGCGTGGCTGCCACCCCCACAAGGTAACCCTGCTGCCATCAAGGATGTGGCAGACACCAGGGAGGCAGTTACATCTATTGACACCACAGCCACTGCCATGAGGTAACCCCATTGCCACTACAGACATTGTAGCTGCATGGGTCACTACTGTGGATACCACAGCCAAGTGGGTGGTTGCTGCAACTACCCCTTCTGTGGTCACCGCCACCACCAGTGCTGCCAAGCAGCCACCATCATTCTGCAAGCAGCCGGCCACCAGTGGAACCACTGCTGTCACACAGGCAGCTTTCCAAAGCCACCTTTGCAACCACCACCACCACCACAAGGTGGCCTACTACACAGCAGTGCCTGCAGCAGCCACTGCTGCTGTGCAGGCAGATTGCTGACCACTTGACTGCTTTGACATAGGAGGGTCATCAGGCCAAAGCCACCTTTGCAACCACCACCACCACCACAAGGTGGCCTACTACACAGCAGTGCCTGCAGCAGACACTGCTGCTGTGCAGGCAGATTGCTGACCACTTGACTGCTTTGACATAGGAGGGTCATCAGTGAAGTCCAGGGAAAGAGAGTAATATAAGAAGCAACTGTTCTACCAAATGACCAGACATAAATGTAGAGATACTAGAAATCTGAAAAAAAAACAAGAAAATATAACATCAACAAAGGAATAAAATAACTCTCAAATACCAGACCCCATACAGCAGGAAACCCTTGAAATGGCTGAAAAGGAATTAAGAGTAAAAATCTTAAGGAAACTCAATGAGATATAAGAAGACAGATTTAGATAACACAGTGAAGTGAACAAAACTATCCAGGATATGAAAGAGGAAATTTACAAAGACATTAGTACTTAAAAAAAAAAAAAGAATTTAGCAGAGCTGATGGAACTGAAGGAGTCATTCAACAAAATAAAAAAACACAACCGAGAGCTTAAGCAGCAGGCTAGAGCAAGCAGAAGAAAGAATTTCTGAACTTGAAGACAGTCTCTTTGGAATAACTCAGGCAGACATGAAAAAGAAAGAATTTAAAAAATGAAGAATCTAAGAAAGATAGCTGACAAACCTAAATGCACAAATATCTGAATCATGGGAACTGCTGAAGAGGAGGAAAAAGGGAAAGACATTGAGAATATATTCAGTGAAATAATAGCTGAAAACTTCCCAGGTATAGGGAGAGACACAGACCTTCAGATTCAGAGTCTCAAAGATACCCAAAGAGATTCAATCCAAAAAGGTCCTCCCCAACACACATTATAATCGAACTGGCAAACTCAAAGACAGAGGATCCTAAAAACAGCAAGAGAAAGTATCAAATCACCTGTAAGGGAGTCCCCATCAAGCTAACAACAGACTTCTCAACAGAAACTCTACAGACCAGAAGAGAATGGGATGATATATTCAAAATACTAAAGGAAAATAACCTGCCATCCAGGAATACTTTGCCCAGCAAAGCTGTCCTTCAGAAATGAAGGAGAAATAGTGTATTTCCCAAACAAAAACTACAGGAATTCACCACCACATGACCAGCCATAGAAGAAATCCTCAATGGAATCCTGCATCTGGAATCCAAAAAATGATATTCACTATGATGAATACACAACGAAGAACAAAACCCACTGGTAGAACAAAAGTGCAAATAAAAAAGAGAAAGAAACTGTATCTTACCACCTCCAAAAACAAACAACTGCCAAAGACAATAAAAGAGAAAGAAAGAAACAACAGATATTTAAAACATACAAGTGGAAATCAATAAAATCCCAGAAGTACAGCAATACCTTTCAGTAACAACCCTAAATGTAAATAGATTAAATTCCCCACTCAAAAAACACAGACTGGCTGATTGGAATAAAAAGCTAGACCCAACTATATGCTATCTACAAGAGACCACTGCACCTGTAAAGACACAAACAGACTAAGAGTGAAGAGATGTAAAAAGATATCTCATGCAAATGGAAATTAAAAACGAGCACGAGTACCTATTCTTATATCAGATAAAATAGACTTTAAACCAGAAACTGCAAAAAGAGACAAAGAAGGCCACTATATAATTATAAAGGGATCTATCTGACAAGAAGACATAAAAATTATAAATATATATGCACCCAACATCAGAACACCAAGATATATAAAGCAAACACTGTTAGACCTAAGGAAAGAGATGGACTCAAATACAATAATGGTTTGGGACCTGAACACCCTTCTCTCAACACTGGACTGAACATCTGTGCAAGAAATCAACAGAGAAATACAGGATTTAAACCACACTTTAGACCAAATGGACTTGTCAGATATCTACATAACATTTCATTCAAAAACCACAGAACATACATTCTTCTCATAAGCACGTGGAATATTCACCAGGATAGACCACATGTTAAGTCACAAATCAAGCCTCAACAGATTTTTAAAAATTGAAATAATTCCAGGTATCTTTTCAGACAAAATGGGTTAAAACTACAAATCAATAACAAGTGAAATTCTGAAAACTATACAAACACATAGAAATTAAACATGCTCCTGAATAACATATGGGATGGGTCCAAGAAGAAATTAAACAGGAAATCAAAAAGTTTCTTGAAACTAATGAAAATAAAGACACATCATGCCAAAACCTGTTGGTTGCTGCAAAAGCAGGACTAAAGGAAAGTTATTGCAAAAAACACTTACATCAAAAGAATAGAAAGATTTCAAATAAACAAGCTAATTTACACCTCAAAGAACTAGAAAAACAAGAACAATACAATCCCAAAATTAATAGACAGAAAAAAATTATTAAGATCAAAGCAGAACTAAATGAAGTAGAGACCCCCAAAATGATACAGAAGATCAATGAAACAAAATGTTGGTTTTTGGAGAAGATGAACAAAATAAACAACCCATTAGCTAGGCTAACAAAAGAAAAGAGAGAAGATCCAAATACAAAAATTAGAAATGAAAAAAGACATATTACCAACTGATACCACAAAATACAAAGAATCATTAGAGACTGTTTTAAACAACTATACACCAACAAATTTGAAAACCTGGATCAAATGGATAAATTTCTGGACACATACAAACTACCAAGAAGAAACAGAAAACCTAAACAGACCAAGAACAAGCAATAAGATTGAAACAGTAATCAGCAGTCTCCTTGCAAAGAAAAGCCTAGGCTTTACTCTTGAATTCTACCAAATCTTTAAAGAGGGATTAATGCCAATTCTCTTCAAAGTATTCCAAAAAATTGAAATATAGGCCATTCTCCCAAACTGATTCTAAGAGGCTAGCATCACACTGATACCAAAACCAGGCAAAGATACAACAATAAAAGAAAACTACAGGCTAATATCTTATGTGAACATAGATGAAAAAATCCTCAATAAAATATTAGCAAGTAGCACACAGCAACACATCAAAAAATTATACTCTGTGATCAAATAGGATTCATCCCAGGGATGCAAGAATGGCTCAACATTTGCAAGTTAATAAATGTTTAAACCACATCAACAAAATCAAGGACAAAAACCATTTGATGATCTCAATATATGCAGAGAAAACATTTGACAAAATTCAATATCCTTTCATAGTAAACATTCTCAGCAAGTTAGGTGTAGAAGGAAATTATCTCAACACAATAAAAGCCATATAATACAAACCAATTGCCAGTGTCATTAAGAACAGGAAGAAGACAAGGATGCTCACTCTCACCACTTCTATTTAACATAGTACTGGAAGTACCAGCAAGAGCAGTCAGGCGAGAGAAAGAAATAAAGGGCATACAGATTGGAAAAGATGAAGTCAAATCATCCTTGTTTGCACATGACATGATCTTATATATAGAAAAGCCTAGACTTTACAAAAAAACTCTTAGAGTTGATAAATGATTTCAGTAAAGTTGCAGAATACAAAATTAACAGACAAAAATCAGTAGCATTTTTATAACCCCAACAATGAACTAGTAGAAAAAGGAATCAAGAAAGTTATCCCATTTACAATAGTCACCAAGAAAAAAAAATACATAGGAATAAATTTAAACAAGGAGTTGAAAGATCTCTACAACAAGCACTACAAATCACTACTGAAGAAAAATAAAAGAGGACACAAAAAGATGGAAAGACATTCCATACTCTTGGATTGGAAGAATTAACATTGTGAAAGTGTCCATACTACCCAAAGCAATCTACAGATTTAATGCAATCCCCATCAAAATACCAATGACATTCTTTACAGAAATAGAAAAAACAATCCTAACATTCATATGGAACAAAAAAGATCCCAAATAGCCAAAGCAATCTGAGCAATAAATAAATAAATAAATAAAGCCAGGGGCATAACACTACTTGACTTCAAATTATACTACAAAGCTATAGTAACCAAAACAGCATGGTTCTGGCATAAAAACAGACACTAGGACCAATGGAACATAATAGAGAACCCAGAAATCAACCCACATACTGACAGCCAACTGATCTTTGACAAAGGCACCAAGAACATATATTGGGTAAAAGACTGCCTCTTCAGTAAATTGTCCTGGGAAAACTGGACATCCTTATGTAGAAGAATGAAAGTAGAACTGTATCTCTCACCATGTACCAAAATCAACTCAAAATTGATTAAAGACTTAAATATAAGACCTGAAACTATAAAACTTCCAAAAGAAAACATAGGGGAAACACTTCAGCAAGTGGGACTGGGCTAAGACTTTATGAATATGACCCCAAAAACACAGACAACAAAAGAAAAAACAAACAAATGGGATTAGCAAAAGAGACAATTAACAGAGCAAAAACAACCTGCAGAATGGGAGAAAATACTTGCAAGCTATGTATTGATGAAGGATTAATATCTGGAATGTACAAGGGACTCAAACAACTTAACAATAATAAAAAAATCCCAATGCAATTTTAAAATGGACAAAGGAGCTGAATAGCATTTCTCAAAGATATACAAATGCCAACAGACACCTGAAAAAATGTAAGCATCACGGAAATGCAAATCAAAACCACACAGCGATATCATCTCACTCCAGTTAGACTGGCTGCTATAAAAAAGACTGGCAAAGAGGCAGGAAAAGAGAAACCCTCCTACAGTGTTTGTGAGACTGTAAATTAGTGCAGCCATTATTGAAAATGGTATGGAGATTCTTCAGACAACTACAGATAGAACTGCCATATGATCCAGGATTTCCACTGCTGGGTATATACCCAAAGGAATGGAGATCATCATGTTGAAGGGATACCTGCCCTACTGTGGTTTTTGCAGCTCTATTTACAATAGCCAAGAGTTGGAACCAACCTAAATGTCCATAGTCAGATGACTGGATAAGGAAAATGTGGTATATATACACCATGGAATATTACTCTGCCATAAAAAAGAACGAAATACTGTCATTCACAGCAATATGA